GAAAAAAAAATTAAAACTTGGATTCTAGCTTTTAGGTACAAATAGTAGAACCAAGAGAAAACTAGTTTCCCTATTAAATAGAGAATCTATTTAACTAAATCCTGATTGGATAAAAAAACAGTTTTTGTGGAAAATCAAAAACCACTTTAATCATGGGTCTGGCGAAAGCTACTGAAGCTCCGTCCCATCGCGTATGAGTTCATTCGTTATGAGGTCAGAAATGGTGAAGCTGTATATTTTTGGTTTGACAACTGGTTAGATATGGGCAAACTGCTGGATATAACAGGAGAACTAGGCATCCGGTATCTTGGAGTGAGCAGGTCTGCTACTCTCGCGGAAGTTACTTCTGGAGATGGATGGAACATTAGGAGATGTGCCCAGAGGCGATATCCCCACCTATGCGACAAGCTTGCAATGACTTGCTGTCCGGCTTCCACTGAAGGACCTGACATTGTTCTGTGGCGACATGCTCAAGATGACTTTAAACCAAATTTTTCCGCTACCAAGACGTGGGACTACTTGCGAGAGAAGAAAGTAAAACCCACATGGTGCAGATTGGTGTGGTTTCCCCAGGCTATTCCCCGACAATCTTTCATGGTTTGGCTAGCGTTTAAAGATAGACTATCTACTGGAGTTCGAATGAGAGGATGGGGGTTGGAGCAATGCTGTGTTTACTGTGGAGAAAAGGATGAAAGCAGAGATCACTTGTTTTTTGCATGCCCGTATACTTTCACAGTTTGGATGCAAGTAGCTGCTGGTGTACTTGGAGCAGAAATCACACCAGATTGGGAGGATACTATAACATCAATGCTGAGTCCAAATAGAAATCGACTAGACAAAGCTCTTCTTTGCCTAGTGTTTCAAACATCTATTTATGTCATGTGGAAGGAAAGGAACTCAAGGAGACATGGAGGAGTCTGTATCCCAGTGGAGCAGACTACTAAGATCATTGGGAAGATAGTCAAGAATCGTACCTCCTCATTGAAGTATAAGGGAAATCACAAGATGGAGGGCTTGCTTAGAAGATGGTTTGTTGTTACCACAATTTAGCAGCTTTCATTCTTTTATTCTTTTTACTTAAGAACAATTTCGATAGCTATGTAAATTTTTTCTAGTGTTGATTAATAAGTTTGATATTCAATCAAAAAAAAAAGAAGATATTCTTAGAGAATTCCTCAATTTTTAATAACTGATATAATTTAATTCGCTACACTATATATATATATATATATATATATATATATATATATATATCAGAGGTGAATCTAAAGATAATTTAAGTGAATATATATATATTTACTTTAAATTATCTTTAGATTCACCTTTGATTATTTGTACAACGCGATTCAAATTATTCCAATGTTTAAAATATATCTTTCTTTTTGACAACAAGTTTAAAAGTATATCAAATGTGAATTTGTAGTATAGAGAAAATGATTAAAAATATTTTTATATATTTTAGAAAAATTATTTAAAACACTAGATCATATATTCTCATTAATAGTTTCTCAAAAGAATATATATACATATATTCTCATTAATTATAACATAACCAAAAAGAGAAAATGTGATTAGGGTGAAGAAAAGGTAAATGCTTACTCAAATCTATTACAAAAATTATGCTCAATCACATACTCTAAATTGAAATTTGTTTAACACTAATCACTTAAAATCAAAATTAACCAAAATAAACTATGGGAGTTGTTTCTTATTTCGTGGTCAAACAATCAATAAATAAAATTAATTATTTATAATTGCAAATTTTATATTTTAAAATGTGCTTTTTTTTAAGAGTTATTGCACTGTCAATATCAGCTCCCGACCTTTGCATTCCCTGTTGCTATCCATATTCCTAATTAATAAGTTCTCTTACGTTATTGAGCTAAATTGCTTTCTTTTAACCAATATCTTTAAATCTTCACTCCTGTCCACATCCCGCTTACGTCCACAGACGTCCCCTTTGTATAAAAGCGAATTGACTATACATTTTGATATAAATCTCTTTCCCCTGTTGCATCTTCATACCATTGATCTTTTACTTCAATGTCAAAGATCTCTAGTTGAAGGTGATCTGCTGCTAAGACCACCCAAAACGTCAAAAAGGTTACTGGATCATCTCAACAACCACGGGGAAGGAGAAAGCCGCTTCTGGAAACAACAATATACCGCTTCATTGTCGCCCTATAACTCGTGCCTTTGCGTCTGCGCTGCATGCTTCTTCTAATCTGACAACATCTTCAGAAGTGGCTGCTAGTACACTAATCAACCAGGGAAGGGTTCTGAGAGCAAACAGTACAAGAAAAGGCTTGCATTATAAGAAAGCCATTGTGCCTAAGAAGCCACATGTTCTTAAGGATATCACAAACGTTACCTCCGAGGACTCCAGGTTGCCTCCAAGACCCCTTTGGAGATCAACTTCTACAGGTAACTTTACAAGTGCTCTAGCTATTGTTGTTGTGTGAGTGATTTATAACATTTCTGATGGTCTTTTTTCTTCTTGCGAATGGTTTACAGCTGAAATAAGTTGTGTTGGACTGTCAAGTACCCCGAAATTCATTGACATTGATTCAGATGATAAGGATCCTCTACTTTGTAGCCTATATATATGCACCTGAAATCTACTACAACCTGCGTGTTGCTGAGGTAATAACCCCTTTGGAATTTTAGGACAATGCATATCTGGTTATCTAACGACTTGGCTGTTTTTCTTGTCAAGTGGACAATGAACCAGTCAAGCCACCCTTGGGTTTGTTGCTTATCTTGTTCGTTAAGGCACACATCGCTTATGTTATGTAACAGAAATACGATTTATTCTTCTTTTTTTTTATGCGCAGAAGCCAACTCTTGAGCATTACACAACGTATAAAGCCTCCGATCTTAAAGCATCTGTTCACGCCTTGCGAGATGTTCAGCTTAACACCAAAGGATGTCCCTTAAACTCTATACGCGTGAAGTACATGCAAGAGAAGGTAAACAAATAAGTTAAATCTTTCATTTTGACAACGGTTCGGTTTTATTGATGGCGTCATGAGTGTAAGTGTTTCTTTTTGGTACTTTAACAGTTCAAATCCGTGTTCACTTCTCCAGAGCTACCTGATAGGCTATTTTGAAAGGAATAGGACGCGTGGCAACCTTAGCCACGCCTCTTCTTTTGGTACTTTGCCAACCTTGGCTGTACTGTCGGTTAATGAACCATTCAAATTTCTGATGTATCAATCGTTTAGGACTAGCAATTCACATGTGGGCTCTGAATTGGCCCATTTCAAGCTCATCTCTCCTAGATCTGATGTTCATCACAAGCGTAACTCCTCTCCTTCGTTTTCACCGATTTTGTCGTTTCAAGATTTTGCTGTTCGCCGTTATCAATCCATTCTTAAAACATTGAATTATTTTTTCTATTCTTTTCTTCATGATTTCGTTTCACCTTCTTTGTTTCTCCACCTATAAAAACCCTTCATCTAATTTTACGTCAGAGCAAAATATACAACCTTGATTTCTCTTCGTCTTCTTCTCTTTCGCTCTAAATTTTGAGAATCAAAATATATACAAAAAAATATATATACAACCTCCAAAAAACAAAAGCTTTGGCCATGGGATCTTTTAAATCCACCGGAAATTCACCCTTTACTTTATATGATCTTACGATTTTTATCCGATCTTGAGGAAGCTGATGGATTTTGAAAATTTTCACAAGCTCGATCTCTATTCATTGGTAGTTTTAGAACATTTGGACCTGTTGAAGTTCTTTCTGTGGTGATATGAGGCTCCTCTTCCAACACTACCATCCCACCATCTCCACCTCTACCAAACTCAATTTCTTAAATGTTAAGGTATAGATTCTTTTTGAATTTGGAGACAACCTTCTGGGGTTTTTAAATTGATTTTAGATTAATTCTGCAAATTTTCATGCCACCTTTGGGCTATATAGTTTACAAATTATGGTTCCGTCTTTTAATTGTTTTCAGATTCTTCGAACATAATATGATGACTTGGAGTCGATTTGTCCCCAAAGGTTTGAGCTTTTTTCCAATTAATATAAATAGCTTGAGCCATGTTAACTATGAACCAGTAAAAATCATATTACATAAAAACATTATTGCTTTAGTTATGAGTGTATGAACACGTTTTGTCTTTTACCATCTATATTGTAGTTCCCGTGTTGCAAAGATATTTTTATGCTTGGTTAATTCTATTTAAAATCTGAATGTTTTCATGCATCAGCTGCAAGTTGTAGCCTAGGTTTCTTTTCACGGCGTTTAGAGGAATATGTCAACTAAAACTGGTAGTGAGCTCTGTAACTGGGGAGGTACCAGTAGAGCCATAAGGTATCAGTTCGATCCTAGGCATTACCAAAATCAATATCTTCTTTGAATAATTCATTAATGTCTCTGAAAGTGGCAGAACTATAAAGAAAAGCTGATGATGTGGATCCCAACTTGAACTTGCATTCTCCTACTGGTGTAGGATGTATTGATGGAGGGTGGTTCAAGAAGCCTTAGAAGCATATGCAGCTAAGCGGGGCTAGGGGAGGTTGCAAACAAAATTTGGGTATAGTGCTGAGAAATTGGGCGTTGCATTATCCCTAAAAATCTGGTTAGTGTGCTTTTATACTTTTGGTCTGTCCTTTGTTATGGATGAGAGTTCTAAGGCTGCTTGAGTTGCAGGTTGCAAAGGAAACACCAGAGGAGAAGGCATTATACTTTGTGTGTGCAATGTTCGGAAATCTTCAAGTCGTTCTTCAGGGTTCACGGCATATGGTACCACTCTGCAAACAAATTCATATTATACTCTTAAGCTGGATTTAGTACTACAAGAACTGCCCTCGCATCAATGCTGAGATACTGCTTATTTTTCTTTGTCATGCTGTGGTTGAGATAAATCAAGCAATCAGTCAAGAAATATGTCTGTTACATTTATATGGAGAATGCAGTAGTTCCATCAAGTCCTGGTGATAGAGTAATAGACTTTTTCCATCACTTTTTGGATATTTGTTGCTAAAAATGGAGGATAGCTGTATTGGATTTGAAGGATCCAAACGTTACGGTGAGAGCAAAAGAATGGTTATTGACTCAGTGATCAAGTCAATAACCGATTCAAGCCTTAGCAGCTCTAGCTGCGGTGCTGGATCGAGCTCCAAGAGATCTGTATCTTCGTTGTCATCTCCTCCGACGAAATCTTAGCTCCTTGGATGGCCGTTAGGGCAAGGATCGTGGAGGAAGAGTTCAGGGAAGAGGATGATGACGAAAACTCTGACGAATCGGAACAGAGACTTCAGGTTTGTTAAAATCAATCTCTCTATTTCACAGACGACAAAGTTTTTACACTTTTTTGTTGTTTTTTGTAGAAGTTGAGTTGTTGAAAGAGAGGATGGCGAAGCTGCTGCTTGGTGAAGACATGTCAGGTTCTGGTGAAGGAGTTTGTCCTGCTTTAGCCATCTCAAACGCTGTTACCAATTTCTATGGTACTTAACTTTAGCTTTGAATGTTTATGTGATATTAGTATTCATACATGGTTCTGAGTTTGATTTTCAATATGAAGCTGCGATTCTGGGGCAATAATGGAGGCTAGAGCCGTTACATAGTGAGAAGAAAACCATGTGGATAAGAGAAATAGAAGTTCTTCTCTCTGTTAGTGATCACATTGTTGAATTGGTGCCTTCCTTTCAGAACATCCCCGATGGAAGCAAGATTGAGGTACTTAAAAGTCTATAACTTTAAGGTGATGTGTAGTGTTCTGTTTAATTGAGTAAAGTGTGTTCTGTTTCTTAATTTGGTGGGTTTAAGTGTGTTCTGTTTCTTTATTTGGTGGGTTAAGTGTGTTTTGTTTCTTGATGTCCTTAGGTTAAGTGCGTTCTGTTTCTTGATTTGGTGGGTTTAAGTGTGTCCTATTTAACTGAGCTAGTGTGTTTTGTTTCTTAATTTAGTGAGTTAAGTGTGTTCTGTTTAACTGAGCAAAACTGTTTTTTTTTTTCAACAAAACTGAGCAAGTCTGTTCTGTTTCTTAATTTGGTGGGTTATGTATTTTCTGTTTCTTGATGTCTCCCTCTGCAACTAAGAATAAGCTACCAATAAATTTAAAGAAAAAAAAATTCAACACCTTCAAATGTTTATGTACTTTCAACCGTGGATTGGAATTCTCACAAACAAATCAATTTTTTATTATACTACAAAATATGTATGCAATATATAGCTCCACATAACAACTCATTTCAAATTAGTATATTCGACGTGGAAGAAAAACCCTAGGAGGGCTCTGACGGCGATGCAATTGGCGATGGAGAGATATGCCTCCGGAGTGCTCTTCTCTGCTTGATCTCATCACTCCTTGGTGTTTTGAGTGGTAGAGGAGACCTATCCTTGCGGACTATCGTCTGTTTGGAAGCAAGCTTGTAACGGGGGAACGATCTTTGTTGTTCTCTCTCTCACCACGTTACTTGATCGATCAGCGCAGTGGTTCTTATCTGATCTCCTTTGTGATCGTGGGAGGCCTGCTCTTCTGTTTCTCGTGTGACACAAATCGTGTAACCTCGTTCCTTGACGGGTTTCGTTTTGGTTCTCGACGAGTACCAGCGTTGGTGACGTTCCCTACGTACCGTACACGGATCACTTCTGATACCCATCTGTCGAACTACATCACTGGATCCATTGATACCATTGATATAAGATTGCTTGGAGATCGGTTTTTTTCCTCTGGTTTTCTGGGTCCTCTGTTTTCTCCTATTGAAAACAGAGTAGGGCTCTTTTATTGCACTGGTATACGGTTTCCTTGTTAGTAAGTATGTCCTCGTTTGATATCTCTGGAGATGCAAAAGGCAAGGGGATTCTAGGTATTGAAGAGGAGGCGCCTTTCCAACTACTTGATGATGAGGGTACATATGTACTTCAAGAGTTCAAGCTTTCTCTGATCGGAAAGATACTAAATCCGAGGAAACAAAAGGTTCAAAATTTAATCAACTACATGCCGACTCAGTGGGGAATGCAGGATCGTATCACTGCGAATGATTTGGGTAACGGGAAGTTCCTGCTGAACTTTACTACGGAAGAGGACCTTAATGACGTTCTACGTCAAGGTCCTTTCCACTATAACTTCTGCATGTTCGTGTTAGTGAGGTGGGAGCCTATTGTTCACGATGACTACCCATGGATTATCCCCTTTTGGGTTACTATAACTGGAGTGCCTTTGCACCTATGGACAATAACGAACTTGGAAGGTCTTGGGAATTCTTTGGGGCGCGTCGATACGCTGGAGTTGGAGGAGGGTCGGATGCTTATTGATATTGACACGCGCAAGCCCCTTAAGTTCACAAGAGTGGCTACAAATTCAGAAGGAGCTGCAGTCACAATCAAGATCTCCTATGATCTTCTATTTAAACATTGTACAATTTGTGGCTTCTTGACACATGAGAAGGACCATTGTCCTTTGAAGCCACTGAAGAGTTCTGTTTTTGACAGAGTGGCGACACAAAAGGAGGAGGTCCGAACACTGATACGGCGTCGGGAGTTTAAACCCAGGATGAACACTGCTCCTGATAGCAACACAGCTGCTCACTCTACACGCCATAACTCTGAGGCTTATCGACGATCGGATGGGCCTTCTGTTATATCGGATCGCACTGCTGTGGGTCTCTCACGCCATGACTCCGAGTCTCAATGGCGAGACATGCCGATACGAAGAAGAAACGAACGACAAAGTACCAGACATGTGCATTCTCCTTATCAACGTCATGATGGTCATCGGTCGGAGAGGTCTTCTGCTCCGTCCTCTGCTTTTTCTGATAGGGACACTGCAATAACTGAATCAATGGAGGATCTGACGAGTAATGTGAGGGCAGAGAGAAGGCGCGGAGGAGAGTCATCAGGTTGGCGAGGGTCAGGCAGCAGCCAGAGATCTACTTTGGTTAATAGGAGTGACAAGATGGAGTGGCGTGAGAAAAATATGAGCTTCCACAGTTTGCGGCCTGCTAGGAAGAATATCGAGGTTAAGCATGGTGCTCCTGCTGAGCATCAATCTGGCAGGAGGGAGGTTTCCCATGATAGAAGTGGCACGGCTGGAAATCGAGGTGATCCATCTCCACGAGCAAGTCGCACCGATTTTCCCCGAAGTGACAGTAGGGAGAGGAGTCCACGAGGGTTGGATTCTGCTACGCGTTCCAATACTGATGAAGAGTCTTCTCAACGAGGTGCACACCATGGGACTGTTGCATCAATCGGGACCGGTGGCTTACGTTTGGAAGGTCTTGATTCGATCTCTCGTTTAGGTCCTTATGACCAAGCGAAAGTGAAAGCGAGGGACAAGAGAGTTGTGACGAATAGTGGCGAGGATCATCAGGCTGAGGCCACATAGGTATATGGGAATAATCAGAAGAAAAGGTTAGCCAGTAAAATCACATCTCCAAGTATGCAGGCTAATGTAACAGTTCGCCCTAGAAGTGAAGTGCGTCCCTTGACGTATTACACTGACATAGCTGAGCCTGAGGATGGTGATGCTCGCGTAATTGACGCTTTATCAGATATGGGACCTTTAGCACATGAGGAGGACGTAAGAATTGATGCAGAGGATGATCTGTTTGATGATGAACTTATGGAGTTGGAGGCACCTGTAACGCAACATGTCTCACGACAAACAGAGGAGGGAAGCAGCTCAAGTAGTTTGAAAGGAGTTAAGACTGGGAACAGGCGCACTCCTAGGAAAAAGAGGTCCTCCGTCGGGGATCTCCACGATTAAGAGTCCTAAGCTCTTCTTTCTATGAAGAACACTGGTGGAAAGACTAAACCAAAACATCTTAGCCATAATGCTAGAGAGGATCGGTCTAAGGCAAAGACAACAAGTGGTTCGATGGGGTCCAAAAACCCATCCCACAATCATCCATGAAGACACTCAGTTGGAACTGTCGAGGAATTGGGACTGACCTCACAGTTCGACGCCTTACGGAGATGTGTCAGAAGCATCGCCCAGGACTAGTGTTCCTTTCTGAAACTAAGAATAGGAGGCTGCTGTTGCAAGACATTCAGGCCGACTTAGGATTTGATCGTTTGTTTACCGTTGAGCCAAATGGGCTCAGTGGTGGTTTAGCTTTGTTTTTTATATATGATTTTCAAGTTAAGATTTTATTTTCGAATAATAGGATGATTGACATTGAGGCAGTCATTGATGGAATAAAAGTCTTTATGACATTTGTTTATGGGGATCCTGTTGTAGAACGAAGAGATCTAGTTTGGGAACGTCTTACGCGTTTTTCAACAACAAGAAATGGACCATGGTTCATGATTGGTGATTTTAATGAAATTACTTGCCACGAAGAGAAGGAAGGAGGTAGACAACGAACAGATAGCTCTTTCCTGCCTTTCAAGCAGATGTTCAGTGATTGTGGAATGCTGGAGTTCCCATTCACAGGAAATATGCTTTCATGGGTAGGAAGGAGAGCAGGAAATGCTACTGTAAGATGTCGACTTGACAGGGCTGTGGGTAATGAGAACTGGCATGAGAAATTTCCTCATTCTAAAGTTCAGTATATGAGACTTTGGGGTTCGGATCATCGTCCAATCCTGGCAGACATTCTTAAAAAGAAGCCAAGGAGATCGAAAAATTTTAAATTTGATAAACGATGGCTCCAGAATGAGGAACTCAGACAGATTATTCTTGAAGGCTGGAAATCACCAGACCTACCACCTGGAGCAAGTATTATGGAGCACATAACAAGCTGCCGGCGGGCGTTATGTGATTGGAAAAGGCAACACAATCTGAATTCAGAGAAAAGTATAGAGGAGCTAAAGGAAAAGGTAGATCGACTATCCTCTAACGACGATGCCACTACAGAGGAGATAGCAGCGGCTCTAAAAGAATTATTTGATGCCCTTAAGGCGGAGGAACTATTCTGGAAGCAGAAGTGTAGGGTGTTCTGGTTAAGGGAGGGGGATCGAAACACCAAATTTTTCCATGCCTTAACAAAGCAGCGAAGAGCGAGAAACAGGATAACTCAACTTCTTGATGCAGATGGGAATGTTGTGGAGGATGAGGAAGGCTTGGTAGCCATTGCTACTAGTTATTTTCGACAAATATTTCAATCCTCGAACCCTGAGGAGATTGAGGAGGCACTTTCTGAAGTAACCACTACAATCACGCCTGCAGACAATGAGGGGATCACAGCTCCAGTTTCAGAGTGGGAGGTTAAATTAGCACTCTTTGCTATGCATCCTGAGAAAGCTCCTAGACCTGATGGAATGACAGCTCTGTTCTATCAAAATTTTTGGCATATCGTCAAGGAGGATTTAACTCGTATGGTTAATGAATTTTTATTCCAAGGGACTATTCCGACGGGTCTCACTGATACTAATATTTGTCTTATTCCAAAAGTTGATAAGCCAAATCAGATGAGTCAACTACGACCCATCAGTCTCTATAATGTTTGCTACAAGATTATCTCCAAGGTCTTATGCCAAAGACTGAAGAAGGTTCTTCCAGATAGGATTTCTGAAACCCAGTCAGCCTTTGTTGCTGGGAGACAGATATCAGACAACATAATGATTGCACAGGAATTGTTCCATGCCTTAAGAACAAAACCAAGTGGACGCAATAAGAGGATGGCCATCAAAACAGACATGAGCAAGGCATACGATCGTATGGAATGGTCTTTCATTGAAGCAACCATGAGGAAGATGGGGTTTTCTGAAATATGGATTACCTGGATTATGCGATGCATAACAACAGTAAAGTATAAGGTACTCATGAATGGACAGCCGCGAGGAAATATTGTCCCGGAGAGAGGTCTACGTCAGGGAGATCCTTTATCCCCTTTCATTTTTATTCTATGCACGGAAGCGCTCGTTAGCCTTCTTAATCACGCAGAGAATCAGGGAAAGATAACGGGGATGCGCATTACACGTGCGTGTCCATCGATATCCCACTTGCTCTTTGCTGATGATAGCCTGTTCTTTTGTAAGGCGGAGCCCCGTGAATGTGAAGAAGTAATGAAGGTGGTTAGGAAATATGGACATGCATCTGGACAGTGCATCAATTTTGACAAATCTTCTTTACTCTTTGGTAAGAGGATCGGTCAAGAGGCTAGGCAAGAGATCAAAGATACACTTGGGATACAAAATGATGGAGGAATGGGAACCTACCTAGGGATTCCAGAGGATATCAGTGGCTCGAAATGTAAGCTGTTTGCCTTCTTAAAAGACAAACTTCGACATAGAGTGAATGGATGGACGGGGAGATGGTTGTCAAAAGGTGGAAAAGAAGTTATGATTAAGTCAATCTTGTTAGCTCTCCCAACATATGTGATGTCTTGTTTTTTTCTCCCTTTGGAGATATGTGATGCTTTGGCTAGTGCCATTGCACAGTTCTGGTGGAGTTCAAACCCACCAAAGAGGGGCTTACATTGGACAACATGGGACAAATTATGCCTACCTAAAGATGAGGGCGGAATTGGATTCATAATGATACATGAGTTTAACCTGGCATTATTAGCAAAGCAGTTGTGGAGATTGGCCCAAAATCCGGATTCATTG